CTCCTCCTCCTCCTCTCCTCCTCCTCCTCCTCCTCCTCTCTTCCTCCTCCCCTCCCTCCTCCTCCTTCTTGATAAACTCATTTACTATCTAGTTCTGGTACATTTACTATATTCTTACTACACTGATCTTTGAAGTAACTATTAACTGCAGATTTGCTTACTTTTTTTCCTGAGGTTTTCAATATTTATTTCGAGTGTTTTGAGGCTCTGTTACTTGTGGCAAAAGTGTTCACATTCACATTGCTGTTGTTACTGCACTGTGTTATTGTAATTATGGTTGTATTATATTGCCGAACAGGTCCCTTAGTGATGAAAACTTTTCAACTATAACGTTTCTTATCTGAAAAACTGCCTTTCCTGATCTTGCCACCTCTTGTTTTCGTCATTGATGCTGCTTGCTTATTAGCATGGTGCAATGGGCGTTATTATTTGACTTTCACCACGGTTTATTTTAAGCTGTCTTTATACAAAAGGCTTCTTTTAGTAGTAGCACCAAGTAGGATCTTACTTTGTACATAGCCTGGCTGCTCACTTGTTGTGTTACTACATTTAGATTAATAGATCAACTCAGATAGAACATTTGGGTGTTTGTTCCTCTGGTTTCCAACTTTGAGTACGTGTGCATGTGTAAGTGTGTGTGGTACCGTGTACACGTTTACTGTGTATGTGCATGTGGCTTAAGTTTTCCGGTCATGAAGGGTTCCAGAGTTTGAGGATCTAAAACAGGCTTTATTTTGCTTTCACTTCTAATTGATAAGCATGCTTGGGTGGCATAGGTATGTATTCATGGGCATGGCTGGAAGCTGATGGCTTCTTCCTTGATGTCTCTGTGCCTTGCTATTATTATTATTTTTTAACCTGTAGCTCATTGATCTGCCACTGGGCACTTGAGAACATCTCCCAGGTATAGTTTGGTGTGCTTGCAGAAATTCTAACAGTGGGAATGGAGGCTGTCTCTGACTTGTTTGACTGCTTATGGTATCCTTTTCCTCCTACTGGGTTGCCCTGTTCAGCCTTGATGCAATGGTATATGCTGAGCTCCACAGATCTCTACTTCTCCAGAGCTGGGATTACAAACTTATGCTGGTGATATCAGATCTTTATGTGGGTGCTGAGATCTAAACATGGGTCCCCAAGCTTGGCCAGTGCTTGGCTGACCAACCCAGTCTCTATCTCCTTGATCCTTGTTTTATTTATTGCTTTCAAAATGTTTTCCCTGGCTATGTTTAGCATTTTTAATTTGTGGTCTATTAAAGTGATTGTTATTCTGCTTTCTTGCTTGAACTGTCTCTAATGACAAATTTCTAATTATACTTACATTTGTTATTTTGTACATATGTCTTCTAGTTTCTGCCTTCGGGTTTATCTTGGTCTCTGATTTTGAATACTTTGGTGGTAATGAATACCAATATGGCTTTCTTTATGTGTCTTCTTCTTGAGATTTGTTGGACTTATAGTTTTGTTTTTAAGTAGTTTTTAAAATATATTTTTAATATTTTTACATCCCAACCAGAGTTTCCCCTTCCTCCCATCCCCCTAACCTCCCTCTGCCCCACTGCCTCCCCTCTCCCTCAGATCCCTCCATGCCCCCCACCCCCATGTCTTTCCTCAGAAAAGAGCAGGCCAATCAGACATGACATAACATATTACAGTAAGACTCAGCATATACCATTGCATCAAGGCTGAACAGGGCAACCCAGTAGGAGGAAAAGGATACCATAAGCAGTCAAGCAAGTCAGAGACAGCTTCCATTCCCACTGTTAGAATTTCTGCAAGCACACCAAACTACACCTGGGAGATGTTCTCAAGTCCCCAGTGGCATATACTTGACATTCTCAAAGGAGAGCCGAAAGAGGTAAAGGCTGGAGCTACTGCCTGAAACCATTCAGTGTGGGTCTTTGTTATCTCCGTCAGACTCTAACTCAGTTTATGGTTTCCCTTTAGACCTTTTTATTATAATAGGTGGGATAAGAATACAGCTTAGTAAATACAACTTTGTAAAGAATTCTGGCATGTTGTGTACATACTGAGAAGTTCCCTTCACTAGAAGTCATCTCACGTGAATGGCAAGATGTCTCAGTGGTGAGGAGCACTGGCTACTCCTGCAGAGCACTCATCTCCCACAAGTTGACTGAAAATTGTGTGTAACTCCAGTCCCAGGGAACTCCAATGCCCTCTTCTGTCCTCTGAGGGCACCAGGCACACACATGCTGCACATCTGTACCCACAGGCAAAACATTCATACACATAAGTCCTTTAAAAAGTGGGCATAGTGCTGGTTGATATTCATATCAACCTAACTTTAGTCTACTAACTCTGCCCCACTAACACAAGTATCATAGTAGGTACACAAATTAGTCATTGTCACTAGACCAAAAGGGACCTTTTTCATTGAACAAGGCATATCCACTGTTTAAGGAACAGATGTGTATAAACAAGTGTTCTTGAGCCTGGGATAGTGGGCATGGTTAACAACTCTCCCTGCATCCAGCTGTGGAAGCATTTTCTGATAGACATGTTAATGTTGTACTGTGTCCTCTGCTGTATCATCCTATGGAGGTCTTAGGCAATGGGACCATCTCATGAGGTTCGCGCAAGAGGGCGCGGGAGCGGGGGAGAGAAGGAGAGGGAGGGGGAGAAAGGGAGAGGGAGAGAGAGAAAGGGAGAGGGAGAGATGGAGAGGGAGAGGGAGAGGGAAAGGTGGAAAGGGAGAGATAGAGAGGGAGAGATGGAAAGGGAGAGGGGGAGGGAGAGGGGGGAGGGGGAGAGGGAGAGGGAGAGGGAAAGGTGGAGAAGGAGAGATAGAGAGGGAGAGGGAGAGATGGAAAGGGAGAGGGGGAGGGAGAGGGGGGAGGGGGAGAGGGAGAGGGAGGGGGAGAGGAAGGAGAGCCAAAAATGTATCCCTGGAAGTAATCCTTTATGTTTTCTTCTAGGTAAAACCGGCTAATACATTGTGTAGAACGGCAGACAATGAATGTGACCTTATAGAGTACTGTAATGGAAGAGAACCCTATTGTGGCCCTAATATGTACGTACGTGATGGGCATCCTTGCAACTCAGGTCAAGCCTTTTGTTTTGGAGCAGTTTGTCATACTTCTGACAATCAGTGTATGGACTTGCTTGGGAAATGTAAGTACCACAATATTCTTCTAAAACCTCATTACCCCAATGCCCATTATTCAATTCCTCAGGACAAAAATATGTCACCTAGTAATGGCAGAAGTCTCAATTGGCAATCATTAATTTCAAAGGTAACTCTTTTTTTTTTTTTGGGTTGTTTGTGTGTCTTTTGTTTCAAAGAGACAACACAAAGGACCCCTGAACTGACATTGAATTCCTAGTTGTTAAAGGAAAAACTTGGAAGCAGAAATGCAGCTTTCCCACAGTATTGCCTCTGATTTTGTGGTGACATCGTTTAGTTTAAATGCAAAGAATCTGGGTTTCTGGCCTTCAAGAGCCTGCCAACGAAGGGGAGCCCTCTGACATTTGACAACTCAGTTGCTTACTTAAGTGTTGAATTGTTGTTTTTTTTTTCTGCATGGGAAAAAATAGACTGTCTGAACGGATGCAGTTCATGTGAGCTAAGAGAAAGAAATTTCATTCTGAATTCCCAGTCTGCACCACTAACCCCCCATAAAGGCATGGCTTAGAAATGTCATCATGTTCCACTAAAGGATTTATCCCTGGCCAAAATGTGTGATGCCGTTATAACACATTTATATTAAAAGAATGGCCTGGAACTTAGTCACAGAAGCCAGGCTGGTTGGCCAGGGAGCTCCAGGGATATACACCTGTTTCTCTCTTTTATCTTGCTACCACTGGAATTATATATCCAAGTTTTTATGTGGAGACAGAGATTCAAACGCTACTCCGTCCCTGTATAAGGGAAGCCTGAATCATCTCCCTGCCCATAGCATCACTGATTTAAAGAAACCTGAGAAAGTTGTATTGTGAAGGCATTTAGCAGCTCAGGGTGAAGTTTGTTGCTGCAGTTACCACCAGTGTCATGGAATGCTCACGTTCCCCCTCTCCCCCATTTGAGGTTGATACAAGTGGTTCCTTATGCCATCTATATTACTGCCTAATGAGAAAAAAGATATGCTTTAATGAGTGATTCATTTCTATTGTATGTGTCCCTGTGGGTGCCTGTAGATACATGTGTACTACATGTTTGACTGTAGAGTCCAGAAGAGGATGTAAGTTTCCTGGAACTAGAGTTGCAGACAGTTGTAAGCCTCTGTAAGGGGTGCTAAGAACTGAAATCAGGCTCTCTGCAAGAGCAGTCGGTACTTTTAGCCACTGAGCCATCTCTCCAGCCCCTGCCTGAGCCTTTGAGTATTCCTTTAAAATATTAAACACAGGGTCAAACATTCTAGACCACCAGGAGGATAAACAGTTGAACAAATTGATGAATAAAAGGAAAGTAGCTGGGTAGCGAAGCATCCTCCCTCTTTCTTTTGATTGGTATCTGTACGACAGCTCCCATGGGTTAGTTCTACTTATGGAATTTGTACCGTCTTCTAGCTCTTCGGTGTGTAACCTTAGTTCAGGCTGTATGGATGATCTAGGCCCACATGGGTTGAAACATGTTTCAACTTCACACCAGAAGAAGTATCTGCAGACTTGCCATCTCCAACAAGAGCTTAGTTTATTGAGCTGGATCAGATTTCAGTGACAGAAACATTTTTCTGGACAGAGGAGACACCCTCTCAGCTCGTCTTTATCTGCTTTCTGTACCAGATATCTGATATCATGATGTCATAGCAGGTGTCCATTTGATGCTTCTTAAATTTTTTTATTTGCTCTACCTCTCAGTTCTGAGTCTCCTAAAAGAGTCAAATTTAGGAAGGGACTATGTGTGGAAACATGTCTCCTCCTGCACCATGAAAAGCTACACATTTCTACTGTTATCTCATATGGTTGCTTTCGAAGTCCATAGTTAACTGTCTCTTCTCCAGTGTTTTTTGTTTTTTGTTTTTTGTTTTTTTGAGACAGGATCTCCCTAGCTGTCCTGGAACTCATTCTATAGAGCAGGCTGGCCTGGAACTCAGAGATTAACCTGTCTCTGCCTCTGAGTGCTGGGATTAAAGATATGGGCCACCACCACCTATTGTTTATTAATTCTTTTTTAAGACAGGCTCTTGTACAGTCTGGGGGTAGCCTGGAACTTGCTATGTAGCATGCAAGGCACCCTCTGTACCTGCAGAATGCAGAATAAAAAAGCAAGAGCCAAACAAGAACTGTCATTCCTGGCAACTTAGTTCTCAAATTTGGACTGTACCTCTCAGGATCTCTCTTCTGAGAACATCCCCGTAGCAGGGAATGGCAGTTATGTCCCCAGAACTGTGTATCCTGGAGTTTCAAGAGCGATGACAGCTCACAGCACAGCTGGGAGGAGCCCGACTCTATCTGGAAATGTTCCCTGCAGCAGTTGATAGTCGTCTTCTTGCTTGAGTTGTCCCCTTCAGATTTAGGTAGACCTCAGTTCAAAGCCTATGGAAATCAAGGCAGAGATGTAAAAGCTGCTGATCTGGGTGAGCCTAAATTCTGCCCCCTAGGACAGCAGGAAAATTAAGTGTCTGAAGATAGATCAATCTTCTGGGTGGGTCAGGAGCAAAGAAAATCTTGGCCTTGAGAGACTGGGAGTGGGTACTTCACAGAGTTGTGGTGTTTCAGGAACCAAGTAAACAAAGCCACCAGGCTTGCTATCCTTAGCCTCAAAAACCTAGAAGGAAAGGATTCCAGAAGAGAGCGCTGAGGTGCTAAGCGTTGTGGGGTGAATCCATAAAGCACCTTAAAACAGTGGATTTCAACCTGTGGATCAAGACACCTCTTTCACATGGGTTACCTAAAATCATCGGAAAAGCACAGATATTTACATTACAATTCATAACAATAGCAAAAATGTATAGCTTTGAAGTAGCAACAAAAGTAATTTTATGTTTGGAGGTCACCACAGCATGAGGAACTGAATTAAAGGGTCTCAGCATTAGGACGGTTGTGAAGCACTGTGTTACAGCATTCTGCATTTAACTGCTCTAAGCTCTCTCTGGGTCAGGGCTGTGGTAGCAAGGTGTCCAGGCCAGAGAGTGTTAGACTTTGGCGCGCAGCTTAGAACAGACAACACCAGACCAAATGGTTCCGGGGCGGGGGAGGTGGAGGGAGGTTATTCAGGGCAAAGGGCAAAGGTGGGGGAAGAAAGATAGAGAAAGATGGCGGAGACAAGGGGCAAGGTTAGGGAGTTCTGCCTATTTTATATGGGTGGTGATGGGTGGTGATGTAGCCAGGTGGATTCTGGGAGTGTATGGCGGTTGCCTTGGCAACGATGTAGGAATCGCCTAGGTCACCTAGATGTGATGTCACTAGGTTCGGGCCTGATACCAACACACCTCCCTTTTTCTTATTATAAAGAGAAGAAAAAAGAGGAAGGGAAGTAGATGGTGTAAGGGGAGTCAGGGCACTGTGTCTCTTAAACTACTTCCTGCTGTGTAAGGGCGTAGTCTGGAGTGGGGAGCAGCTGGCTTCCACCATGGAGGTCCACTCAGTAGATGTATGTATCAGGTTCCTCTGTGGACAGCCGCTGGTAATTCTATAACAGGAACTGATTAATAAATTGGTCAGAAATAATAACACCAGGAGGATGACTAAAAAGGGTGTTACAAAAGAGGGTATCTGCTTTTCTATGGGTTTTCAAAAATCTCAGAACTGGAGAAGAACATCTTTTTTAGCTGTCAGGACAACTGGCACCCGTCAGTTCTGAAGCACCACAGCAGGAATCCCGTGAGTCTTGTATGTAGAAATGAGTGGCTTGCGGTGTTGGTAGAAGAAATGGTTGGTCCGTGATCCTAGCATATGTATCTGACAAGACCAATATGAGCAGCCCCCATAATTGTCTGGCCAGTTTCTACAATAATCTATCTGGGCAAAAAGAAAGCAAGTATAGAGAACATAATATTTAGATGGGATAACAGATATAGGGATGATGGCAATTTGGATTGGTTCTTGGCATCTGGCTATGGAACGGTTTCCTGACCCTATTTGGAAAGACTGTTTGTTATCTGTGGGTGTCTTTGAACTTCGAACCTCCAGATGTAAGGGCTGACCTGGATGGAAACAAGCAGCAGAGGGAGGACGAGAAACCCATGTCTAGTCCAGTGAGGTCGAGCTCAGTTGCTGGAGTGGAGTCTCATTTTCTGGGATAGAGGACAAGGTGGGTGATTTTGACGTCCTGTTAGGGTCAATGTGTATGAAGAAGAGTCGATTTTAGATGGGGGAGTGAAAGGCTTGAGGTGAGACAAGTGGACCCAATGAGGGAGTCCTTCAAGTTTAGCAGCTGTAGGGGTCACAAGAATTACTTTAAAAGGGCCCTTCCATTTGGGAGAGAGGGGTGAGGGCCGATGATCTGGAGAGGAGAGAAGGACTTGGTCTCCAATGTTGACAGGCAGTGGACAGGAGACAGTGTGTGGTTGAGGTAGATGGTGGTCAGCAAAGTTCCATAAGAAAAGTAATGGGGTGAGCAGATGGTTTGGGAGGGGAGAGCATTTAAGTGAAAGACCAGGAGTTAGAACTGGACATCCATACATGAGTTCAAAGGGTAAGATGAGGAGAGGCTGCTTGGGGAGAGCTTGTAGCCCGAAAAGAGTCAGAGGTAGGAGTTTACCCAATCAAGGTGAAGTTCCTGTGACAGCTTGACAAGAGTGGTTTTTTAAAGATCGGTTAGTTCTTTCTACCTTACCTGAAGATTGAGGGTGGTAGGAAATGTGAAAATGACAGGGGATGTCTAGGGCCTTAGATAGAATTTGAGAAACCTGGGAAGTAAATTCAGGACCATTGTCTGACTGGAGGGAGGCTGGGACACCAAATCGGGGGATGATCTCTTGGAGGAGATCAGAGACTGTCTGAGCCCTTTTGTTAGTTGTGGGAAAAGCCTGTACCCAGCCTGAGAAGGTGTCCACCAAGACCAGGAGGTGCTTGGGACATTTGACAGCAGACGTGTGGGTAAAGTCAAGTTGCCAGTCAGTTCCAGGAAGGGAACCTCTAGCCTGATGGGTAGGAAAAGGAGTACTATGATACCTCGAGTTGGGATCTGACATCTGACAGATTTTGCAAGAAGCAGTGATAGATTTTAAGAAATTTAAGTCCTCAGGAGTAGGCTGTAGGTGAGTCTTAACAAAATAAGACAACGCTTGGCTGTTAGGATGAAAGAGTTGGTGAAGATAGGACAGAGTTTGACGAGTGTCAAACGGTGCAGGTGGGGATGTGGGTTGCAGTGTAAGAATGTCCTGGAGATGGTGAGATGAGTCTAGGCCCCTAAGGGCTGCAGCTCTAGCTGCCTCATCAGCTCGGTTGCTTCCCTTGGAGACAATAGTCATCCGTCCAGCGGGATCTGCAGTGGACAATCCCAATAGCTGTGGGGAGATGAAAGGCCTTTAGCATGGCCATACTCTGGTTTGCATTAGTTACTGATCCTCTTTTTGTGGTAAGCAACCCATGCTTCTTCCAGATAGCAGCATGGGAAGGAGGATATGGAAAGCATATTTGGAATCTGTGTAAACGCTGAGGGATTGTCCCTGTGCCAGCTGGAAGGCATGGGTAAGGGCTATTAGTTCAGCCTGTTGGTTGGTGGTATGAGCAGGAAGGGCCTGTGCCTCCACCACCTTGGTGTCTGACACTATGGCATAGCCAGCTTTCCTGACCCTTTCATGTAGAAAGGAGCTTCCACCTGTACACCAGGTGAAGGTGGCTTGAGGCAATGTGCCCTCCTTATGTGTGAAGGATGAGGTAATAGTTCCTTTAAGGTTTCAGTGCAGGAGTGAGATAGGGAGTAGTCAGTATTAGGTCGAGGAAGAAGATTGGAAATATTAAGAGTGGGCATGATTGAAAGGTGAGGGTGGAGTTATTAGAGCTACCTGAAGAGAAAGAACCTTGCAGGGAGGTAGGGTCTGTAAGCCTTTATTAGTTAGGAGCTGTGACAGGTTGTGAGAAGAGAGGGCAGTTATAGGTGATCCCAGGGTTAGTTTCTTTGATTCTCAAATAAGGAGTTCAGCAGCTGCTAAGGTATGAATACAAGGTGCCCATCCCTGGATGGTTAGATCTAGTCTTTTTGACAAGTATGCTACGGGTGCAAAAGATGGTCCCAGTTGGTGACCTAAGACTCCAAGGGCAAATCCCTCCTTTTCAGTTACGTAGAGGGAGAAAGGATGAGTCAGGTCAGGGAGATGTAAGGCTGGGAACTTAAGAAGAGCCTGTTGGAGCCTTTGAAAGGGCTTAGTAACAGGTTTGAGAAGAGGTTTGTGGGTGGGGTCTAGTGCTGCTTCATATAAGGGGCGAGAAAGTAGGGAAAAGGAAGGACCAGGAATGCAAAAAGCTAGCCATTCCTAGGAATGATAACATCTCTTCCTTTGTAGAAGGAACAGTTAGAGTCTGAGTCAGATTCTTTCTATCTAAGGTGATAGCCTTGTGGGTTGGGGTAATTGTTAGTCCCAAATAGATGACCTGAGGAGTGGACAGTTGGACTTTAGAAGGTGAGACCCTGTAGCCCCAGCTGGAAAGGAAATTTAGAAGAACAGCTGTGTCAGCTTGGCTAATTTCTAGAGAGGGACTACAAAGAAGGACATCATCTATGTAAAGTACAATCTTAGATCTAGGGAGAGATAAAGAGAGCAAGTCAGAAGCCAGGGCCTGTCCGAACAGATGTGGGCTGTCCCGGAATCCCTGAGGTAGAGCAGTCCAGGTAAGTTGGGTAGAAAAGTGGGTGTCAGGATCTGTCCAGGTAAAGGCAAATATGTCCTGTCACTGGGTGTCTAGAGGGATAGAGAAAAATTCATCCTTGAGATCTAGGACTGAAAAATGAGAAGTCCCTGAGGGGATAGTAGAAGTGTGTAAGGATTAGCCACAACAGGATGGAGGGGAACCACTGCAGAGTTAATGCGCCTGAGGTCTTGAACCAGTCAATAGGTACCATTAGGTTTCTTTACTGTCAGTATTGGGGTGTTAAAGGTGAAAGAGGTGGGTCAAAGGAGTTTTTTCCTTAAGAGGTCAGAAATGATAGGCTTAAGTCCCCTGAGACTCTGGAGAGAGAGAAGGTATTGAACTTGGGTGATGTACCTGGTGGAGTCCAATAACTGGATGACAACAGGAGAATGATGTTTAGCAACAGAGGGGGTTCTGGACATCTCAAACTCAGGGGTCCACCTGAGAAGCTGGTAAGGGAAATAACATGTTGTTATTATGTTATTAACATGTTATGTTAGTGTTAGTAGGTTGACTGGCTAGAAGAAGGAGCAGAGGAACTGCTGGCGAGCTTGGGCTTAAGCAAATTGGTAGAACAAAGGAAATAGAGGCTCCCAACTTAGCTAAAATATCCCTTCCCAATAAGGGGGCAGGACATATAGGCACTACCAAAAAGGAATAGGTGAGAGGTACCCTATCTGGCATTCAGGGTCCCTCCCACCAATTGGAAGCTCCTTACCAATTAATACGCCAGTGTGTTTGTGGGCTTGTGCAGTCTGGTATCAAGAAAAGTGGAACTGTGAGGTCTGTGTAGGCCTGTCTGGCTGTCCAGCCCACATGGCAGAGCACCACATGGGGGCTGCAGTGGCACAGCTCACGTGGTAGAAGTTTTGTGAGCTTCGCAGCATCGGATGGAGTTGGTTTGCAGCAGCGGTAGAAATTTAGGCGGTCAGTGACTGCAGGTAACAGCAGAGGTGGCGGCAAACCACGTGGCTTCAGTCCTGCACCGGGTCACAGCAGCCTGCGGCTGGCAGGAGCTGCCTTGGTACCCAAAGTATTCGGTCTCGGCCCAAATGCACCAGTGTTAAACTTCAGCATGCAGCTTAGAACAGACAACACCAGAACATATGGTTCCAAGGGCAGGGTTTATTCAGGGCAAAGGGCAAAGGTGGGGGAAGAGAGACAGAGGAAGATGGTGGAGAAAGAGGGCAAGGTCAGGGAGTTCTGCCTGTTTTATATGGGTGGTGACGTAGCCTCTCCCAGGTGAAGGTGAGGTAGCCAGGTGAATTCTGGGAGTATATGGCAGTTGCCTTGGCAACAATGTAGGGGTTGCCTAGGTCACCTAGATGTGATGTCACTGGGTTCGGGCCTGATACCAACAGAGAGTCTTCACAGGGCGGTTCCGGTTCTCACTGCTCTGAAGCCAATATGCTGTTTCCCTCAAAACAAACAAACAAACAAAAAACCCTAAACAAACAAACAAAAAACCTCAGTGATTCATTCACAATAAATGCTTCTTGTGTTAATGTTTATTTTAGAAAAAAAAAATGTAATCAGCTGTAGCCGCCTGCAGCCACGAAACAACTGGGTTCACCTGAAAGGGGTGCTGGGAATGAAAGAAGGGACGGAGGGTGAAAAGAGGTGAAGCCAAGACAAGTATTCTGATCAAGGCTCAATGGTTTAATGTTCAACTTTTCAATTTAAAGGGGAAGCCCCACCTCCACTACCGAACTCCTTGCTCCAGTTTCTTCAGGGGCATGGGTGAGGGGAATCCATCCTAAATCAAAGCTGGAGGTGTCTCAAGGCAATCTCAGCGGGCAGGCTATTCTTCTCAGCTCTTGTAGCAGACTGTGGGTCTCCAAGGTGGTTAACAGATGAGTCCTATTGTTTTGGTCTGCTTTGGTAAAGGAGATCCTTCAGGCTTGCTCAAGGCTGGGGAAGGGCACAATCAGTGGCTTATGCTTGTCATCCCAACTGATGCAGGAGGATTACCGTCAGCCTTTCTGAAAAAAAAAAAAAAAAAGCATGAAGATGTTATTTATCTTGGTTATTGGATTTTTGACTATCCCTTTAAATTTTGTACCATCCAATCCTTGTCCAGGGCTAAATTAGATTTAGAGTATTGGTTAAATTAAGACAGGCTTAACAGAGACCCATTGCTGTTTTTGTTTGTTTGTTTGTTTGTTTTAAAAAAAAACAGGGGGCTCTTTTCAAATAAAGAATTACTACTGACAGTTGTAGATTCCCTTCACACATGTATCCACACATAGGAATCATGCCTCTCTGGAGGTGACATTTGCGATTAGTTCCTATAGGTGTGAGAAGTTGTGCAATAGGTGAAGAGGGGTCTCTTATCAGTGACTAGCAAATGAAAGCAACCAATCTGAGTTCTTATTCCAAATGACTGACAGGAACAGTACAACCGGCCCTTAAACCTCCAAGTCAAAGTGACAGGGATAGCTGGTACAGGTAGTTGAATTTTTTGCTATTTTTTTTACGACTAGCCATGACTCACACCTCTGTCCCCAACCTCTGTCCATAGTTGCGTTGCTTTCTGTACATGACTGGTTGTGTCCTTTCTACTTTAAAAATTCAACACCCCTTTTATGCTCATCAGGGTGTAAAGGCATGGGGACTCTAGTGCGGAACACGGGAGGGAAGAAGCCCAGCCTGGGCTGTACCCTGGGCACTTGGCTCTGTGATAAAGAATGAACTGTATCCCCCCCACCCACCAGTAAATAAAGAACTAGGGAAGAAAACAATTCAAAAGGAATAGAGAGAACCACATTTGCTCCTCCTCTTAAAATATGAAACATCTAAGCCTCTGTCCCACCCTCTCTTCCTTCCTTCTTCTTGATGAATACTAGGCTGACTTAGAGCCCAAATATTTCTTTGTAAATATCTCAATCCCTTGATCCTAAGGGATCACAGTACAGTTCCCAGTCTGACCCTGTCAGTTCCGCAGTATGATCTGAACACTTAATCTGTCTTAATTATTTTTGTCTTTCCCTTCAGATGTGAGAGGTGGTTCCTTCCAGTGCTTTGAAGAGTTTAATACCAGAGGCGACAGATTTGGCAACTGTGTTTCTAACTTTTGTGCTTTCGAGTATGTATTTAGAACATTATACTTAGGTTTAGAATATTGTTTCTCAAGTCCTAAAATGTATTCTGAGTGAAAGACAGTGGAGCAGTACTTTGCCAGGTTTCCTTGGTCACATGATCTCACCTGACCAGTTGTTGTCCTTTGCTATGGGAACATTTGTTCAGTGCCTACAATGTCAAAGGTGCAGTGACCTTGAAAACAGCCTCTAGAGATGGTTCTGGAGAAACAGACATTGTGTTAGATAGTTTACATGTATTATATATTTATGATAAACGTGACATACCTCACAAAATATATCTAATAAGAATTATCTTGCTTTACTTACAAAACAACAACAACAAACAAACAAACAAACAGCACAAAACTCTCCTAAGTCACTGGTAATTTGTCAAAATGTCAGTAGCTAACAAGACCTAAAAGAGCTGTCAGCATTGTCATGGTCATGTCAATTTTCATTTTATTCCTAAATTGCCTCATTCAAGAAAAAAGTCATCTTCTAAGTTATACTAAATTTTTATGAAAAAAAAAAGTGTTCAACCTGGATTTAAATTAAGATTACATTATTTTTTAGTGCGGAGCATATAATATTAAAGAAGAGTAAATTTTATTTTCACATTGTGTAGGGAGAGAAAACAGAAATCAAAAGTTTAGGGAAGGTAGGGTTTTGCTGACTTTCCTAATGTGGACCCTTAATTGTTAACTTGTATTATAAGCTAATATAAATACATAGCTTATATTATTATAAATATAGCTTATGTAATTATAAGCTATGGATCTCAGCTGGATGGAATAATTCAAACAGCAAATAGTGAATGGATCCACTTCCGTGCCATGTCTATAGTGATCACAGGGGACCCCAGAAGCTGTGGAGGGGAATAAAGAGTAGCCTCATAGGTAGAGTTTCAGTTCTATGAGATGAGAGGACTACAGGGTTGGGGGATGGTTTTGTGCACCATGTGTTTAGATGGTAATTTCTGTGTTTTAGTCCAGACACCAGCATCTTAGGGCACAATGTTATATAAAAATTATGTATATATAAATACATAGCTTGTATTATATTTATTTAAATAAATGCTAAGAGAACTTTACCATGATGCTTCCAGAAATGTTCTCTGTGGGAAATTAATCTGTACATGGCCATTCAAGAGGCTATTTTTGAAACCCAATATGTCTGCGGCTTATGGACAAGTCCGAGATGACTTATGCATCTCTCTGTATAAAGGCGGGAGAATAGTTAAGCCGACAAAGACAACATATACCGATCTATCAGACAGAGACGAGACATTTGTACAAGATGGCACAATCTGTGGCCCTGGAATGGTAATTTGAGATACTTTACATTGATTTTAAATTATTTTCCTTTTGCTGTTCATATTCATTTTGACACCATATCAAGCACTGTATTTTCTACAATTTCCTCACTGTGGTAAAGTGCTCATAACAAAGACCCCCATTTTAATCGCCTAGAGCTGAGTAATTTAGTGCTACCAAGTTTATTCTCTATGTTGCACAGCCACTACACCACTGTGCACTTCTGTAACGTAAAGGTCATTCTTGGGGGTGGGGTGTGAGGTGTGGTTCTTTATCCCTTTTGCTCCCAAGTAACATTCTGTCTAGCCTATTTTAGCTTTTAACTAAATGAAACGGCAGAGACCTGGTATTTTTGTTAAAAGGCTGCACACACTAAGCTGGGCAAGTGATGAGCTAGTCCAACCCTTTATGCCACCTACTTCCCATCCATGTGGTCCTTTACTGGCATCTGAATCTTTCCCTGACTCACTCTGGTCCACGTGTGTCCTCATGGCTGCTCTCTCATAGGAAGCAGTCTCTCATGGCAAGTTCTGATCCATCCAAATGATCTCTCCACACTTCCTTCTCTCCTCTTCCTCTTCTGTTTCTTTCTGTGACAACGCCACCCCCCACTGGAATTGAAAGTCTCGCCCGCCCTATACTCTTCTGCCCAGTTAATTGGCTGATCAGCTCTTTATTAGCCATAATTAGAGGTGATAGAAAATAATTTTTATATAACATTGTGCCCTAAGATGCTGGTGTCTGGACTAAAACACAGAAATTACCATCTAAACACATGGTGCACAAAACCATCCCCCAACCCTGTAGTCCTCTCATCTCATAGAACTGAAACTCTACCTATGAGGCTACTCTTTATTCCCCTCCACAGCTTCTGGGGTCCCCTGTGATCACTATAGACATGGCACGGAAGTGGATCCATTCACTATTTGCTGTTTGAATTATTCCATCCAGCTGAGATCCATAGGAACCATCCACACTGTAGAAGACGTTGCCATTTCTATCTTTTTCAAGGCTCTGTACTGTCTCACTCTATGTATGTATCACATATTGTATATCAATCCATCAGCTCCTGGCTACTTGGGTGCTTCATTGACTGTAAATAGTGCTACAGGATTAAAAATGTTTGAAGGGATACAATCCATCATCGCGGAAAGAGCTATCATTTGGGAGAATACTATAAAAACATACTTATATAAATACCCACCATGGCATTCATTGCACCATGAGGCATCTGGTCATATTGTATCCATATTCAAGGAAAGAAAGGAGGGTTGACAAAAGAGAGAGGAGACAAGAGACAGAAGGAGGAAGGCTATTTATAAATTATTTATCTGGTATCTTAGTCCCAGCAAAACCAGTAAACATCAGCTTCCAGGTTCTCCATGCCATCAGCAATCCTTCCTATTATTGCCTTTTTGATGGCAGGCATCCTAGTGGTCATCCGATGCTGTCTTGGTTTGTGTTCAGTGGATGGTTGGTGCAGTGGTGCCTTTCTCTAGGGCTCATTGCACATTTGTATACCTTAGTTGGGAGAATATAATTTTAATTCATTGGCCCACATACAATGAGGTCGTTGTTGAACTTACTGAATTTTGAAAGTTGATAGCTTGTGAGGCACATGATTTTCAGATACTTTATGTGTTGCCTGTTTAGAGTACTGGTAGCATGTTGAATGGACTTTAATTAGCATATAAGACAACCAATGCCATGGTGGTGTTTGTATAAGTATGCTTTTGCGGTATTCTCCCAAATGATAGTTCCTTCTGCATTCATATTTCTCTCTTGCTCTAATGTTCCTTACCTTTCAGTCTTGTTCTTTTCTTTCATAGTTTTTTATACTTTCACCACACACATGCACATGCACACACATACATGCGTATGAGCATATACATACAAGCATATTGTATACATTTAAATCTAGATTCTGAACATGAGAGAAATTGTATGATTTTGGCTTCTTTTCCTTGTCCTGGTGATACTTTTAGTTCCATCCATTTTCCAGCAGATGCCACACTTTAATTCTCCTTGATAACTCAGTGAGGCATCCATCCCCTATGTCTATTATCACATTTCCTTCCCTTTGTTTGTTGCTGGACATGTGGGTTTGGTTCATGTGGTGGTTTGAATGTAATGTCCTTCCACAGTCTCAGGCATTTGAGAACTTGGTTTCCAGTTGTGTGTCTGGGGAAGCCGAGGAGGTATGACCTCACTATAGGAAATATGTCAGTTATAGTGAGGCTTTGAGAACTTCAAGACATTAATCTCAGGTTTGTGTTCTCTGCTTCATGCTTGTCATGTAAGATGTAGACTTGCAGCTTAGTCCAGTCACCATGTCTGCCTACTGCTATGCTTCCCTACCATGGTGGTGATGGACTCTTATCCTAGAATTGTGAGTTAAACCAAAACAACCAAAACCAAAACCAAACACCAAAACAAAAACCCCCAAACATAAACCCAAACCCAAACCCAAACCCAAACCAAACTGACCAACCAAATAAAACCTTAGTTCTAGAAGTTGCCTTGGCTATGGTGCTTTATCATAGCAGTAGAAAGGTAACTAAGATATTCCTTAGCTGTTGTGAAGAGTTACTGGACATACGAAGATACAAGCATCTTAGGACTATGGTGACTCATAATTCTTCAGGAATATGCCTAGGAGTGTTAAAAGCTTCAAAACTTGAACTTCATAAGTTAAGTAGCACAACACCAAATTATCTGAACAATAAATGTACTAACAAGTTGTATAGGTAGCTATCAAAGGGAGAAACAAAAACAAAGACAAATATTTGAAAGACTTCAATTTATATCTTATTTAGGGTTTCTGTTATGATGGAACACCATGGCTAAAGAAACTTGTAGAGGAAAGGGATCTTTCCACCTGTGTCCCCACAGTTCAACATCAAAGGAACTCAAGCAAGACAGGAACGTAGAGATGGGAGCTGATGCAGAAGCCACACAGGGGTGCTACTCACTGGCTTGCTCCTCATGGCTTGCTCAATCTGCTCTCCTATAGAACCCAGGACCACCGACTCAGGGATGGCCCCTCCCTCAATGGCCCCTCCCTATCAGTCACTGACTACTACAGGCTCACCTACTACCCAGTCTCATGGAGGCCTTTTCTTAATTGGGATTCCATCCTCCCTTGGATAAGCAGACTTTCCCTGCTCATATGTTAAAGCACCTTGTATTTAGAAACAATTTATATTAAACTGTGCTACGTAATTGTTATATGTTGCTGAGAGCTGTTTTTGAGTTTGTTAGTTTGTTTTAGCATCTTCCTATTTCATTTTTTTTAAAGAACAGATATTGGTCTGTATTTTGGCTTTGTTACTAAGTCAATGCTGACCTCACAAAATCAGTTAGAGAATCAGTTCAACCCTTTCCACTTTTAGTAAGATTTGGAAGAGGGCCATTGGTGCTTCTTAAATATTTGTTAAAAACTGTTGTGAAGCCAGGGCAGAGGCTTTTCTCTGTAAGAATATATTTGATTACTGATTCAATGCCCTTACTAGTCCCAGTTAGGGTTATATTTGGACCTGCTATGTGTTCCTTGTATAGTTGTATTAGGTCACTGTGCAAATATTCCTGAGGGAAACAGCTTAAAGGTGGAAGAATTTTTTCTATCTATCTATCTATCTATCTATCTATCTATCTATCTATCTATCTATCTATCCATTCACCCACCCACATGTCCATCCATCCATCTATCCATCCATCCATCCATCCATCCATCCATCCATCCATCCATCCGTCTGTCTTATGAGTTCAGACATTTCATCCTGTGATTGGCTGTGATTGGATTCATTGCTGTGGTCTGAGGTGATCTCTTTCCAGTTGAGAAGAAGAGATAATGGGAGCAGGAACAAAGTACGTCCCTTGTAGTCATGCCTCTAGTGGCTTGGTTCCTTCAGCCAGGTCCGATCTTCTAGCTTCTACCAATACAAAATGATGCCATCAAATTAAGAATCCGTGAATGGATTGATCTCATTCTGAAACCAGAGCCTGTGTGATTCAGTCATCATCTCAGAACTCTCCCACTGGTCTCTTAAACCTTCAACACACAGGCCGATGTGGGACATTTCAGATTCTGTTTGCAATTCTTAACAGGTTTTGTGTTTCTAAAAGTTGGTCCACTCTAACGACATTATCTAGTTTGTTTGGCAAAAGGTTGTCCCTACATTCTTATTTCAGTATAGCTGTTAGTAATGTTCTAATTTTTTCATTTCTGATTGTGCTTATCAGAACTAAACATTTAAAACATAATACTTGCAATAGAAGGCTTTGTCAAGTTTGTTCTTTTTTAAAAGAAATTCAGGGTTTAGCTTTATTGACTTTATTGTTTCTCTTTTGTCTCTCTATACCCTAGTTTTTGATTCCTTATTCCTGCTAGTTTTGGGTTGTTTTGTTGTCCCTTCTACTTTTTTTTTGAGATTTTTTTTAATTGGTAATTTTATTTATTTACATTTCAAATATCTCTCTTCCCTGTCTCCCCTCTGCAACCCCCATCCTCTCCCCTTTGTCTCTAAGGGGGTGCTCCCCCACCCACACACCCACTCCCTTCTCACCCCTCTAGCATTCCCCTATGCTGGGGCATCAAGCCTCCAGGACTTCCCCTCCCACTGATGCCTGATAAGGCAATCCTCTGCTACATATGTAGCTGGAGTCATGGACCCATCCATGTGTACTCTTTGGTTGGTGGCTTAGTCCCTGGGAGCTCTGGGAGGGTGGGGTCCAGTTAATTGATAATTTTGTTCTTCCTATAGGGTTGCAAACCCCTTCAACTTCTTCAGTTCTTCCCCTAACTCTTCCATTGGGGTTCCTGGGCTCAGTTGGATGGTTGACTACATTTTCATCTGTCTTACTCAGATGCTGGTGGAGCCTCTCAGAGGACAGCCATGCTAGGCTTCTGTCTAGGAGCACTTCTTGGCATCAGTAATAGTGTTATGGTTTGGTGTCTGCAGATGGGATGGATCCCTAAGTGGAGTAGTCTCTGTATGGCCTTTTCTTCA